ATTTTTGTTGCCACTCCTTAACGATATATGCTTTAATTATTGCTTTTGCTTCAAATTTGATGTTCGATTTCTGAACAAATTGTTCTTTGAGCCTGTTCATAGGAGGTAACCGAACTGAATTTAACTTTAGCTCCAGGCTGATGACGCAAGACACACAGCCAAAGTTTGGTGACCGTCAAAGTGTTGAAAGTTTGCCGAGGATTACCGTTGATGCTCATAAAGGAGTTGACGATACTTTGCAAGCCTGAGGCACATACTGGAAATATTATTATTTAGCTTACTAATGTTATTAAATAACATTTTATTAAAACCTGCAAAATGCTTTCTGTAGAGAGATCTAAATTAATACTATAGTTTATTGTATATGCATATTATATTTTAAGTTGTTACACAAAATCAAGCAGTTTTATAAGGTTTATCTCTCTATATACTTTAGATATGTAGAACATATCTGCATCTCTGCATCAATGGATGTAATGTGTGCTGTAGGTGTGAAACTTTTAGTAATCTTAACCAAGATGTAGATGATCTTATCCCCGGTGACTAATATTTGAACTGCCTTCTCTCAACCTGCTCAAAATTTGAAACTCACAATGAGCTCACATACTACTCACACCGTGAGGATCACAGTATGAGGATAGTTTGAGTTCACAATGAGCTCACCTATTACTCACACCGTGAGGATCACAGTATGAGGATTGTGTGATGTCACTGTGATCATGGCATGATCTCACGTGTTGACTGGGTTACCACGGACGCTAAACATATTTTACGCAAGATATTTTTTTTTATTGTTATCTTAATTTATCATTTAAACTATTTTGAATAGCATACATAAACGTAATCTCCAGTGTCAGTAAGGTCATCCTCTGCAGTACCTACATCTCACTATAAGAAGTCACTGTCATCGACCTAATGAAAGGTACAGTTTTCCTCAGTCATTTTTGCACATTCTGTTGACACAATTCTCTTGAAACAATTATCCACACATGGTCATAGTTTAGATTATTACAGAAAAATCATTGCGGTGCGTGGCATGTAATGAAACAAATTCAATTGTCATGTACAAGAGCTGTGTAATTAGGTACATTATTTCAAAATAATTGCTTTTTCAGGTAATATTTATTAAAAGTACATATAATAACAAAAACGTTGACGCTTTGGTTCTCTATTGATTAGGGCCTACATAAAGACCATATAACTTTCTTAACATTTATGTAGATTTACATAAATTTTACAAGACTCTCAGTCTCACTTCAAAATCTCCAGCCAGAGATTTTCATCCATATCAAGCTTGTAAGTGTAAATGCTGAATTCATTCCATCAGAATCTCTGGAGGCTCATAATGAAACAAATTCAATTGTCATGTACAAGAGCTGTGTAATTAGGTACATTATTTCAAAATAATTGCTTTTTCAGGTAATATTTATTAAAAGTACATATAATAACAAAAACGTTGACGCTTTGGTTCTCTATTGATTAGGGCCTACATAAAGACCATATAACTTTCTTAACATTTATGTAGATTTACAGTACATAAATTTTACAAGACTCTCAGTCTCACTTCAAAATCTCCAGCCAGAGATTTTCATCCATATCAAGCTTGTAAGTGTAAATGATGAATTCATTCCATCAGAATCTCTGGAGGCTCCGGCTCCTTCTACTGCTTGAAGAAGACTCACTTTTTCAGAGGTCACGCTTTCATCATGGAGACAACATCCATCCTCAAAAGCTTGAGCTATCCACAGATAATAATAGATCTCACAAGCAGTCTGAGCACTTGCTCTTTTATAGTGTCTTTGAGGCAATGTAGTCTGATCAGAAGGTGGAAACCAGGCTTAAGCACGCTATTACTATCTTTCAGTTGAATCAACATAATGTTCTAGGGATGTTTGAAGAAAAATTTACAGAAATCCTGATGGGGAAACAAACTTTCAGTTACGCACATTCATTGCAGATATCATCTCAAACCAAACAAGGATGTGAGTTCTGACAAAACTGTGACGATGAAGATACACACTACAGCATGACGCACTAAGCCAGAATTTACACTCTAAATGTGTAATATGGTGGTATGAATTTTGGATTGGCAAAATGAGTCATTTTACCCAAACAATGAAAATTAATTAATTCATTTATTCATCCTCAAGTTGAATATATGTGGAATCAAACAAATCAAACATTTGAGAGTTTAAACATCTTTCTTTATAATTGATTGAATAATAATAACTTATGTTTTAGATTTGCATTTCCTGAAGGAAGTACTGTACCTTCTCGGAAGGCAGAAAACATTTTAATGAGTCACTATTGACACTTTCATGATCTTTGTGGGGGTTTGTGCCATAAATGCATGCCACTTTTGTCTACTTTGTAGCTTTTAAATAAAACAATCTTTCCCTTTTGCTTGAACCTACAGTATAGGTAGGCCTACACTGTTGTTTTTTAAATGTAATTTAAAATAGGCAAAGGTAAATTGTTATATGCATTCAGGGAGTCTCAGAATTTAATCCCCTGACATCACTTTAAATATAAATAGCACGCTGAAAGAGAATCAACAAGGTAATGCAAGGGAAATGTTTAAATATTCAAACCTCTATACTGGAGGCAAAGACAAACAGATTATGTCCTCAATCAATCGTGACATGTTTCAGAGAATTAGGTTTCAAGCATATCAAACAGACTGAGACAGGTTTATAGTATACACGCTTCTGCTGTGCTACTGGATCAAATGATGGTTCTATAAATGTTTGGGTTAGCTTATAAAAGTTTTTGTATTGGTGGCTTGTATTGTAGCCTAGATTAAATTTTGAAGTGATCAAAGTCAGCGATTTGTGCACCACATCAAATTTTGACATCAATGATAACAAAAACACAAAGAGCCGAAAAAAGTCCCTGTTCAAACTTTCCTACGATAGCATTTATATGACTTTCCAAAAGAGGAATAAAATATTGAGAGATTTATTACAGGTAAGAAGAGAGAAAGATGTCAAATTTGTCGTCAGTCACTCAACACACACATCAGCATTAACCAGTTTTTCTGTTATTTAATGCCAAAGTTATAAAACACAAATTATTATAAATGTACATTATATTTTAAAAAAAAGAAAGCAAATAATAGCACCCTTTTTTTTGGCAGCCATGTAACCAATAAGCAAACAATAATTGTGATGACAGAAATATTTAAAACATTTACTCACCCTCAGGCCATCCAAGATGTAGATGTGTTTGTTTCTTCATATGAAACATATCTAGAAAATTTACCATTACGGTACATCACTTGCTCACCAATGGATGCTCTGCAGTGAATGGGTGCCATCAGAATGATTGTCCAAACAGCTGATAAAACATCACAATAATCCACAAGCAATCTATATGACTCCAGTCCATCAATTAACATCTTGTGGATCGAAAAACTACACATCAACGCACCAGTGCATTTTGTGACATTTTTTCCTAATAACACTGAAAAGAATTTAAGTCATTTTTGATCATACAGATAAAATCAATACATAATTTGAATCTGTAAAGGGTCTAATTTTATTTGTATACACTCATAATAACAACAAAATTCTGTGCTTTTGTAACATAAAGAAAACATACAAGGTGTTCTTTCTGCCGTCTCGGGCTCTGTGAACTTCTTTCTGATACGCATAACAAAAATGAACCAAAACTCAGTGAATACTTGACACACAGACATGAGAAATATCTCTTATAGAAAGCTGCTTTTCAACAGCAACTCTAGCTGCACCTCTGTGTCTGCGGTCCTCACAACACCTTCTGTGTTTACAGAAGAACTGATGACTAATGATCTGGAAATATGACTATTAATAATAACATTCTTGCTGGTTAGTTTTACAGGTTAAGTAACACAGAAAAGCTACGAACATATTATTATTATTTTTGAAGCTATAAAGTTGATAAGACATTGAAGCCACTTGGTGTTGATAAATACATATTAGATATAGACATAAATATTAGAATAGGTCGTTTGTTGGTGCAGTGTAAGTAAATGTTTTCCATCAAAGTATCTCTTAAAAAAAAGATAACATTATAACCTATAAAATGCACAAGGTCTCGCAAAAGCTTTAAATGGAAATGCAAAAAAAAAAAAAACTGATCATCAAGGTAGACTTTTAGGGTGTGGATTTTACAGCGTGTCGTGTAATTTCTCTACAAATTGTATGAACCTCCAAGTTAGGATCAAATCAACCATCACATCCTTGTTTACCTTGAGATGATAACAGAGATAAACACTATGTTGTGAGTGACAGAAAATGTTTAATCTTCAAACACAGCTAGACTAAATGGAAAATTATCAATAATGCCTAAGCCTGGGATCCACCTTCTGACCACAGAATAGATGGTCCCAAAGCAAACTAAGACCTAGTATAAAAGAGCAAGTCATGACAGATAGCCCACATTAGCTCTTCAGGATGGTTGTTGCTTCCATGGGGGCTGTGAGGATGTCCCAGATGTGGATGCTGAGATGGGTCACCCTACTGGTGGGGCTACAGCTGATACAAGCAGGTTAGAAAAATCAAAATGATCAATTATTGCAAGAAACACACAGTATCAGCTACATAATATGACTATATCTGTCTTTCTATCTTTATAGACTTCATGAATGATTTTGCAATAATGGATGAAATGTGGCCAACAACAACAACAACAGGTGAATAAGTTATTGTGTTTATGGATTATACTTTATAGTTTCTTTGTGAATCAATGTGAATAGTAGATCTCACAAAGTAACCAATTTACTAACAGATGTCACGTAAAACTACTGTTTTATATATTTCAAAATGGAACATTAAACTCAGGGCATATGTTCAGGTTTTGATCGGTTAATTATTCAAACAGCCAAATCATCACAATGTAACAAAGATTTTTTAATTTTTTTTTAGTAGATTTACAAAGAGTATTGTAGAATTATTGTAAGCTATCTGTAAACATGTAGCCAACTTTGTTTCAATTTTAATTTATGTGGCAAAAATAACTATAGGTCCATCTTTTTCTGTTCTCAGCGTTCTCTATGACAAATGTGCCAGTAACTACAGGTATGGAGATTCTTCTTCCTCTTTTTCTTCTTTTTTAATGTTACATACATTTAATGTTTAAATTTTTTATGTTGAATCTAAAATTTTACACTTCAGTGGATTTAAAGATGAAGTGTGTAAGTTTTTACACTATAAATTAACTGTAAATTATTACTAAATTTCTTCCCCCCCAAAAAAGTATAAGCACTGTGGCGCTGTGGCGCAATCAAAGGGTTGCTTAGTATGTCTGAACATCTGTTTGCTCAAATAAAGTATTTAGTACATATCACATGTTTATAACCTTTCTATCTTGGCTTAGTTGTACCAAATCCTGATCATCAGTCCACGATCTGCAGCACATGGGGAAATTTCCACTTCAAGACCTTTGATGGTCAATTCTTTCAAGTGCCAGACACATGCAACTATGTTCTGACAGTGATGTGTGACATTACGGTTTCTGATTTTAACATCCAAATGCAAAGAGAGACTGTGAATGGCTCAATCACTTTTAGCACAGTCACAATAAAGCTGGAGGGAACAATCATCAAAATCACTAACGGCGACATCACCATGGGGGAAGAAATGTGAGTTTCTACACTACAGCAAAAGCGCATCCTTGAAAACAATATTTTTAAAAATATTTTTCCTTTGGATTCAGTTTTAATAAATATGTATGTATTTATATTAATTATATATAATTAATGTAACATAATTCACAGTATATATATATATATATATATATATATATATATATATATATATATATAATTTATTTTGTTATATATTAAATATATCTTTTGAAGATGAATTTGAAAAGAAAAGTGCAAGATATTAGTTTTTATTTTATTTTAGCATAAATCAAATTTTTCGAGAGATTATGCTTTTAAACAAATCAAATATTCAAACAGTGGAGTTACAAAAATAAGCCTAGTTCAATATTAGAATCTTACACAATGTTTTCAACCAAATTTATTTTAGTATAATAAAATATGTTTTACTGAAAAACAAGACAAAAAAATGTTTCCTTTTCTTTCTTTTTTTTCTTTCTTTTTTTATTAATGTTGACTTTTTTATTATTATTATTGCTCCAACAGGGTGTCTGTTCCGACCTATAAGAATGGAATTAAAATTGAGGGAAGTCCAACAAGTGTCAAGATCTCGAACAAACATGGAGTGACTGTCTTCTGGGAAGAAGACAACTCTCTAACAGTATGATTCGATATTATCTCATTACTTACACGATACCTATACTTATCTCATTACTTACGCACACATTCTTTTATCTTTGAGCTTGATCTTTGACTTCTGATCAGACTTCTGATTAGTGCTGCACATCATAAGACAAACATGCAGTATGCCTAAATAAGCAACAGTGAACCAACAGGTTTTGCAAATTAGTCTTTTAATTTTTTTTTTTATTCTTTGTTAATATTGTTTTTAGTCAAATAAACAAACAGTCAGACAGATAGATAGATAGATAGATAGATAGATAGATAGATAGATAGATAGATAGATAGATAGATAGATAGATAGATAGATAGATAGAAAAAAGTGATTTAAAATCATGTTAGTCTCTACTCTCACCTTATTTTGTTATATGATGTTCCCCAGATTGAACTTCCTGAGAAGTACAAAGGTCTGACCTGTGGACTCTGTGGAGACTTTAATGGCAACAAGCATGACGATATCACTGTTAGCGGTAAACATGGTGTTTTTAACTCATTAATGATTAGATATTCATATAAAGATTTAAATACAGCAAGTTGAGTGACCTGTCGACACATACTTATTTTAAACACTAAGGTTTAGTGTAATATGTTTATCTGAACCCTTCTTAGGTCCAGCCACATGGAAAGTTTCAACACCAACTGAAACCTGTGAGGATGTTACACTTCCTCCCATTGATCAGTGTGACCAGGTAGAGTATGAGACAAAATCAAATTTTGGGTGCACTCATGAAATAAAACAATGGGAAATTTAAAATTAAACTGCTTAATCTTGTATACAGATTAAAATATTGGTTCCAATGAGACAATCCTCTTAAATGATAATTTTTTTTCCACCCTAGACAAGTGTTTGCCAGCAGTATCTCAGCAGTCCTGGGTTTGCTGACTGTTACAGGGTGATGGACATGAGTTCATTTGAAAAAGCCTGTGTAGACGACCTGTGTCAGTGTTACGGCAATCACGACTGTCTCTGCAACACGCTCACAGAGATTTCACGACAGTGCACTCATGCTGGAGGAATACCAGGAACATGGAGGACAGAACAGCTCTGTCGTGAGTATCAGTAATGATGGCAAGAAAAAATGAACTAACTTTTTCTAACCCCCATGACGTTGCAATATGCTGTACGATTCTACAGTTTTTGAAGAATCACTACGCAGCTGTTGCAATGCAAAGTTCATAGTGTCAAGGTCCGAAGGCGGCAAATAAATACTACAAAGTTACCCAAATAATTCACCCATAACCTAAATTAATACAGTAAATGAAGACTTTGAAAACATGTTGTATTAAAAAATGTATACAAACAACAATCACTTACTATTTTAAAAGGACCACTGTGAAGAAAATACAATGCAACATTATTGATACATTTGTGGCATGCAATGTCTTGTTCTGTGGAGCAGCAAAGACGTGTCCTTTGAACTTGCAATACATGGAGTGTGGGAATCCGTGCAAGAACACCTGCTCAGATCCAGATGCAAATCTAATGTGTAAAGAACACTGTCTGGATGGCTGTTTTTGCCCTAATGGTAATTTTTACACACTATCCAAAGTCAAGTGCTTGCATATTTAAATCTGTTCAATTAAAGCCATTTTTTCCAAATTAAATGGTATCATGCCTTCTTTTTGTAAAGGCACTGTGGAAGACGACATTGGTCTGAGTGGCTGCGTTCCTGTGAACAAGTGCCCTTGTCTGCATGACGGCACAGTATATCGATCAGGAGAGTCTTACAAACAAGCTTGCAAAAAATGGTAACTTTTTTACAATTCTAAAGTCACATTTAAATTAGCCTTCCCAGTGCTAACACTGCTGCCGTATCGTGTCAGTGTGTGCGCTGCTGGACACTGGACTTGTACATACCTGGAATGTCCCGGAATCTGCTCTGTTGTTGGAGGGTCTCACATCACCACTTATGATGGAAAGACCTTCACCTTCAGTGGCAACTGTGACTACATCCTTACTAAGGTCTGTCAGTACAGCAGATAATCCTTAGATGTTTTCTGTCAGGGCGAGATAAATGAAAGCCTTCACTTATATGTTTATTCACATGGTTTATATTACAATCAGAAAACTGTGGATATTATAAAGGTTCTTTCAATCCTTTTTTCTTTCTTTTATTTAATTAAAGCACTCTAATGACAGTGACATTGCAGTTGTGGGAAATCTGGCAAATTGTGATCCGGCCCGAGCAGACACTTGTCTAAATTCAGTCACCCTTGTCATTCCAGGGACCACTGTAAGCATTGGGTTTGAATAATTTTATTCTTTAATCATTCTTACTAACAATAATGCTTATACTGGTTACTACTACTACTACTACTACTACTACTATGAGAATCATATTAATAGTAATGTCTTTTTGTTGATGTTTTATTCGTTAAACAGATTAGTTTTTCTTCTGGTGGATCTGTGGCAGTGAATGGAATCAGTTCATACATGTTTCCTTTCACCACAGGTTTGTTGTCAAATATAAGAAACTTACTTTTTCATCATTATTAAAAAATATATATAAAAAAATCAGTAATTTCCTTTTTCAATAATTTTATTGTCCCAGGTCCTGTGAGCATCTTCCAGCCCACTTCCTCTTTCATCATTGCTGATATGAAGAGCATTCGTCTAGAGATCCAGTTGGCTCCTGTCATGCAGTTGTATATTGTAGCCAGCACTGAAGAGAAAGGGAAGATGAGTGGTGAGTTTATAAAAAAATCATTTTGGAAAAGAAAGACTGCAGATTTTAAATGTTTGGAATATTTGTTTTTATTTGTAGCATATAGATGCCTCAAAGCTAATTGTTTTGGACTCAAATCCAGACAATTTTGATTTTAAGAGTATCAATTGAACCACTGTTTACCTTGCTTCTCTCAGGTCTGTGTGGGAACTATAACGACATCCAATCAGATGACTTTAAAACAACATCGGGCATCATAGAGGGCACACCAACATCCTTTGTCAACTTTTGGAAACAAAATTGCCCAGATCTTGAAATCACATTTGACAACCCCTGCAGCTTGAATATAGAAACAGGTGCTTAACATGCTCACAATATCCATGTTGCAGTTGATAATTTGATAATTCTTGACATAGCAGAAGAAAAAGATTGCTGCGCTAAACAAAGTAAGCAAGCAAATCTTCTCTGATGTTTTTCCTCATAGAGCAACTTGCAAAAGACTGGTGTTCCCGTCTCACAAACCCAAATGGCAGCTTTGCTGCATGTCACTCAGAAATATGTCCTGAGATGTACTACCAAGTAAGTCTTTCTGCAAAAAACACTCAACTGACCATGCAATCATATTTAAATATACACTCTTAAAAATAAAGGTGCTTCACGATGCCAACGAAGAATCTTTTTGTCTAAATTGTTCCATAAAGAACCGTTAAAATCTGAAGAACCTTTGTTTCACAAAAGGTTCTTTGTGGTGAAAGGTAAGAAAGAGATCGTTCTTTAATGAACCTTTGACTGAATGGTTCTTTGTGGAACCAAAAATGGTTCTTCTATGGCATCGTGGTGAAGAAAACTATTTAAGCACCGTTATTTTTTGTATTGCCGTATTTATTATAAATTACTTATCTGTGCAAATCTTTTTTTTTTTTATTCACGTGTCCTTGTAAACTTTAATCAAAGGTTAAGTTCACACTGTCAGTGTTTGAGATTGAAAACCACATTTACTTAAGCTCGCCACACACTAGAGGATTTTAAGCCTGATTTTAAGCCAGATTTGCACCCCTGAATGATCGGGGGTGTGGGGGGGCAATGCCCCCCCAAATGACTCGATGGGCCCCCCTGCTTACATGATCACGATTGAACTTAATATTGAGAATGAAAAACATTCATTTTACTGATCAAGTCAAGGAATATTGCGGAATAAATCATGTATTCATGACATTTAGCTCAAAGCACCACCAATCTCTCCAATGGTAACTTAATAGGAAGATAATAACACGTATTGGCGTAGCGGACAGGCACACAGTGTGGGGGACGCAAATAGCGGCACAAACATAAGGATTCACACACATCGTCACCTCATGCACCTGCAGCGCTTCTGTGTAGGGAGAAAAACAGAATAAAACAACATAGGCCTATATAAAAGGAATAAAATAAATAGTCCTAAACGAAATATATTTCATTTAAATAATTCACATATTAACAAAACCAAATAAAAAACTGTTTCATTTTTGTGACCACGCTAAGTTCAAGGAAACTGAAAGCTGAAAGCGCACCCCATGTTTTCTTAATTTTACAAAATCACAATGTTTTGTTTTTATTGTGAGTGTACACATATGAAAGTGGCTCCTTTATAGTTCCGAACAATGTCTTTTTTGTATCTGTATGACCAAAAATGACAGAGTATTTTAAGTAGTTTCCGCTGTTATAAGGAAAAAAACCAAGCAATCGCACCGGAGCCTCTCGTGGGAAATATTTATATTTGTGCAGGATGAAAGATGTATGGTGCGTTTCAGTTTCTTTTTAAATACATTCGTCTTGGCTAGACTTTTATATGGTCTTTACAATGATTTCCATTCTGGGTTTTTTTATGATTTGTATTTATCAATTTGTAATATAATTTTATAGCGGCTCTATTTCCTGATTTGTAAGTTCCTTTGTTCTGAATACCATAAAATTTAAATGGATTTGTTGACAACTTCAGTTATTTTTCCTCTCAATGCAATTTTGTCTGATATGTGTGTAGGCCTATAGCAGAATTTTTTAATCCATGTATCAAATGTTTTTAAAAATAGCTCGAAAAAACTTTGCAAATTACTTTATTGCATTACAGATGCTTTTAAATAAATTTTCACTATAACTTGGGTAGCCTGAATGTATAAAACATTGTCATAAATTTGTTGCATTCCCATTTGTAAAATTCTAATTCATGGTTATAGGCCTACAGATAGCAGAAAATACTTTTAGCGTAGCATAGTGTAGCATGTTGTATAGATAAATCATGTAAGACAGTGTCTTAAGTTTATAACATAGCCTACGTGATTCCTTAAAAGAAATCGCCCTTAAAATTGCTCAGCTGCGCATGCAATCTTAAATCAAATTTTGTCTGTGACCGCAACAAGTTTATCATGTAGGCTAAGTGTTTTAATGAGTGAAATATAAAGCTCTCAGGATATTTCACTCAAAGACTCTCAAACGCCACTTTCAACTACTTTAATGATGAGGTGGCTAATGTTATATTAGCTATTTTTTATTGCTATATGTATTATTTTATTATTATTGTGTTGTTGGAAATTGAAAAGCTTTAATTGCG